CACATGGCCTCACAGTGATTAGAGAAAGATGCATTGCTACCTTGGTATCTTTCAGAGTCACAGAGTGGTTGGGGTTGGAAGGGACCTCTGAAGATCTTCTAGTCCAACACCCCTGCTACAGCAGGATCACCTACAGTAGATTTTAGTGGAACAGAGATTCAGAAAATTATAAACCCTACTCTTTCTCTGCAATGCTCTGACACGGTATGTAATTCATGTCCAAGGAAAATTACAGAATATCAAGTTAAAAAGGTCACTGATTTTACTTTATCCAAGTCACTCAAATGCTAAAATTAAACCAGACAAGAGGTAGGAGAAAACATATTAAGGATACCATCAAGATTAATTAGTCAGAAGAGAAAAATGTGCAAACTTAAAACAGAGACAGCAGAAAAGATTGCAATACCTGTATTCAAAGTAACAGTCACTTTCTAGAAATGCTGGAAGCCTTTCTTTCTTAATCCACTGAATTGCTTGTGCTCGATCAAGACACTATTAAAAAAGAAATGCCAAAGATTTTCAGTGTCCTTGACATTCTTGGTTTGTTTGCCCTGTGACTGATTCTCTCTAGCCCTTCTACAGAAGCATTGTCTCAGGAAGACAAATACACAGTGACCAGAATATCTGTTTTCCAGTTGAGTGTTAATCTACTTTCCTATTAACAGCTAATAAGGTTTAAATCTGATTTCACCTGTAAGAGTACAACATTTTAACAAGGTATGGGTGCTTTTTTCCTTCAGAAATAATGTGTGTATGAATTATGCTTTTACTACACAAATCCAAATGTAAAATAGATGCCTGTGATTTTTATCATGTTTTATAAATAATCACTATTACATTTTTCCTCAAGAACTGGAAGAATAAGAAACACTTAAATTATACTCTCAGAATAGCTGTGGATATTAAAATCAAACAAATAAAAAGCCATCACTCTATCACCCTTCCTGCTTTTTATGTTGGAGCATTGCATAACTGCATTGCACACAGTAACTCTTGCAGTGAAAACCTACACAAGTTATGAACCAAGCTCATAACAAATTTCTGCTTAGATGGTCTAAGCCTCCTGCCTGGACAGCAGAATGGGAAGCGCCTTCGAAGAGTGGCTTGAGGGTCAAAGGAAGGTGTTGAGCAGCAAGCTACACAGAGGCAACTAAGCAAAACACTGTACCCAGGGTCTTACACAGAGAAGAAGCTCTCTGAGTATGGGCCACAGTGACCCACAGCTGTTTCCTTTAGAAATTACACGCAACACACTTTTAAGTATTTTTTAAGAGCATACATTTTCCACTCTTAGAGGATGACCTGGTTTATTTATCTGAGGTGCATTTTATCTTTTAGTGAAGATGAGACTGATGATTTGGAAGAATGCAGTAACTCCAATTGTCCATAAAAACAGGTGAAGTTTGGGCAAGGATGGATGCTACTTGCTATGTCAAATAATCAGTTAACATAGATTACGTTTTACATTTTCTTTCTATGAGCTAATATTCCATTAGGGACAGGGGTTATTTCTGCCTCATATATATCTGTAGGGGATTTAAAAAAATCTGAATTACTCAGAAAGTGGGTGGTTTCATTTATTGAGAAGAAAATATTTCAAAATATGGAAAGCTTATGTTGGCAGTGGCTCATACAATGTAATTTGTGGAGATGGAGACTAATTACTCCCAAACACACAGTGTGTGCCTCCTTTTCGTAACTGACAAGTTTTTTTGAAATACGTAAGTTCATCTCTTTTTTTTTGGCCTTTAATATTTATGCATTAAGTGACTCACAGCCTACCTTTTTATCTGAGTGATTATTAATATGTTCATGTCTGTACACGGCTGGTATGAAAAATTATATATACTATCAGAAGGAAGGAACCTCTACTTTTTCCCTTTCCCCAGATAAAGATGCTACATTTTTGCTACCTTGGTTAGCTTCCTCACCCAGTCAGTTTTAGGCCTTGCTGGGACCCAATCCAGCAAAGCTTTTAGCATGTGTTTAAGTTTAAGTATGTGTTTAACTTCCCTTGATTAAAGTTAAACACATACTTAAGTGCTTTGCTGAACTGGAGTTTCTCTGAACTAAAGTATATGGGATGCCAGCCAGTTTCTTTCCATAGTTGTGATCAATTCTACCCAGTTCTGCAGGTTTTTGTCTTAATATATTTTACACCAAGTTGATTTTGACTATTGATAAGAAGATACTTACGTACTAATAATGTGTAAGTGTGCATGCACACACAACTTTTGCTTATCTGTAAGTTTGTAACAGTCTGAGAGATCAGTAAAATACAGAAAAAGTACAACTGGATGTATTTTTAGGCAATATGTGTTTAAATTCAGGCTGTGGCTTGAAAGGCCTACTAGGATTCTCTGATCATAGTTCATTTTCATTCGTAATGTGCCAGTGATGGCCACTCAAGCTGACTCTGTAGCAATGAAACACCCAAAGCAGCTGTCAGTCTCTTGAGTCAGTGTGAAAAAAACACTCAAATCAAAGAAGGCAGCATCAGTCAGAGCCCAAAAGATCCAATTCTATTTGATTTGAACTGAACTACTTGATGTAGTTGGACTTCTTTTGGTTTAGTCATAGTGTGATAAAATTAATAAAGCTGGCTTCTCTCGCCTTGTGTAGCTGCAGCAATGATTTTGGCATTCTATTTTGCAGACCACTGGATGAGGCATCTATGTTACCTGTCCAGTAAAGTAGGAGTCAAAAATAAGAAGAAACATCATCCTTCCTCCCAAAAAGAAGAAAAAAGTGAACCAAATCATACTGTGTCTCAAAAGGCTGTAATGCATTTTCTCATTTATGGAGAATGGCCCAGAGAAAGTAATGTATTCTTAAACAACACAGGAGTCCTATTGCTCCAAATGACATGAAGGATGCAAGTAATATTGAAAACAAGGTGATGCCTTTGAATTTGTCAAGAAAGACCATCCACAATCACAATGATGTGGGATTATCCCAGAGAGCACTCTTAGCTACACTTGCACAAGCAGACAATGTTTCCTCAGTTGAATCCTGACAGCAAATAAGCTTTGTTCTATTGTAGCATTTGTTCATTTAGATGCAGATAATTGAAATCTCACATTACTATCACTTTGTTATACACTCCTTTTTGACCTGTCTCAGCACTGTTTTCTTTTCCGAAAATCATTAAACTTATACTGGGCAAAGCCATAGTCTATTACAACTCCCTGCTTTTCTCTCTGCTTTCCAGCTATGACATAATTTAGAGCAGCTGCTTCTAAAAATGTAGCAAGACCTTAGACTGGCCTTGAATGAAATGAACTGAAGTCACATCAGTCACACCAATGCAAAGTAAGCAAGAAAGGAATAAACCTAGTATGCCAGTGATTTTTTTTATCCTCCAAACCTGTTGTGTAAGGGTAAACTCCCACAACTAATTATCTTGTAGTCTCTCAAGTGTGTATGGAGCTCCAGTTCCCAATTTTTACCTCCCTAATTTGATTCTGAAGGAAGTCCTGAAAATAAACAGGTAAGAATACCAAAATTGATAGAGACTGAAACAAGAATTTATTTCTAAAATCCAACATATCTTTCCACTAATTTAGCTTTCAAGTTGCCAAAGATTATTTTCTCTGGCCACTTCAATTGATGCTAACCATGTAAATCCCTTGGGAATTAATGGAAAAGAGACTTACGTGTTGCCAGACCACAGATGAGCTCAGAGCCACATACGGAAATTAATTAATAAGGAAAGACTGAGATGCATTAGTTTCAGTCAATTTACACATTCCAGGGATCACTAGTAAAGTAACTGTTGTCATAATATTTTTTCTTTTAATATTAAAAAATATTCAGACCACACAACTGAATCCTGCCCTGCAGAATCTTCAAAATTCTGTGTTACAGGATGTACATGTGTAATTCCATTCACTTGTCTGGTAGACACATGTGCATTGCAGGGCATAATTTGGCCCGTCATTACATTTTCCTAACATAAATTAACATTTTTCCCAAGCTACCAGGCCAAACACAACAATAACTACTGCCAGTATCTCTACAGTAAGGTCTAAATATAAACTTAGGGGCTATAAGATGCTTACCATAGTGTTGTAATTTGGATCAATATTGAGGGCTGGAGAAGTGCTGCGCATTTTGGAGAGCTGCCCATCATTCTTTGCTCTCCTTAGAACATCATAAATGGGCTTTGGAGGTGTCTGATCACGTAGAATTTTTTTCAGCTGGTTTTCCAGGAGTTGTGGAGCATCATTAACTACTTCAAAAACCCTGAATTCAGGGTTAAATTTAACTGGCTGGGCAAAAGTCTACAAAAGAAGTTTGAAAAGTTTATAATGTTGTAATAAGGGAACTCTAATTTTAAAAAGTTACTTTTTATAGTAATGAAGCATCCTACAGAATGCATGCTGGTATTAGGAGACTTTTTTCTCTTGCCTACTGTAGTTTATGTTCAGGGCCTGGAACAGTATTTTTTCTGCATTCTTGTTTTTTAGCCTCTTCACTGTATAGCTTTCCAATGCATTTCTACTTTATGTCTCAGCTATGCTTAATTATCAAGAATTTAACTCATTGTAGATCACAGACAATTCTTTTTCACATGTAAATAATAGATCCAGTGCACAGATATCTATACTATCTAATTTACAGTGACTTTAGTAACTGTTCTACAGGGGACTACTCACATAAGGACCAGATCTCCAGAGTTATTCTCCCATTCATTACCACAAACAATCAAGGCTTGAAAAGATTAGCAATTAAGCTGAACTTTTGAATATGAGATGCATTTGAGGAGATAAATCTGAAGATTTCCATATGTAGGAGAGGCTTTTCACCATATTGTTACTTTTAGGTCTAACACCTACCAAAACCTGTAATAAGTTTTATTGTACATCAGTAGTTCAGTCAGTTACTGTATAATACATGAGGTAGACCAAAGTTCAACTTCAGCTATGTAGTTGTAACTTTTGTCAGCTTAGAAAAAACCCACTGCATATGTACACATCAAAACAGAGCCATCTTTCATCTTTTGAGCTCTGGTATTACTCCATCTTTCAAATCCTCTTACTTGAAACAGAGTGGGAAAATAAGGATGAATTTTACAGAAGTAATGGAGGGATATCCAACACAGTTATGAATATAAGTTTATATACAACCAGTGCATATAAGCACCTCCACACTGAGCTGAAGGATGAGAAAGAATGTTGTATTTAAGAACTGAATACAATTCTGGCCATATTGAGACACAGTGCCAAGACTCATTTTGGCTTCATTCCAGAGAGGATCCCACCTGATGTTTGTACAGCTGTGGTTCCCCTGCACTTAATAAGATTATTTTCCAATACCTGAAAGGAGCCTATAAGAAGGCTGGGGAAGACCTGTTGTCCTGGTTTGAGCCAGGATGAAGCCAATTTTCCTTTTACTGATTTTTTTTTTCTTCAGTAAGCTTTCTTTTAACTAGTAGCAGAGTGTTCCAACTAAGACTGATAACAGTGGAGTGTTTTTCTAACTGCTGGTCTTCAAGGTCACATCTTTACTCTGCCAGCTCAGACACTATAGGGAGATCTATGACTCCCCCATAGGAGGCTGAATTAGACAGACAGCAAATTTGGCCAGAGATATTCCATTCCATAGATCTACATAAGCTCAGAGGAAGGTCAGAGATCACAGAAGACAACTTCCTTCCTGCTTCTCCTTCCCTTCTCTTCCATCCATGGCCAGTGTCCAGGGAGGACTCCATCCATCCATCACCATCAACCCCCAGGCTCGAGCTCTCCTGACCCTCATCACTCTGCTCTCTGTCCTGCAGCTCCAGGATTTTTTGTGACTGTTCCAGCTCAGGAGATGCTGTGGGAGTTGCTGGGGGTAGGAGGAGGCAAGAGGCTTTTGCTCATACTTGAACATATTTGTATATAATTGTATATATTTTCTTATATCATTAGTGTTTAATTAAAGCTATGTAGTTTAGTTTTCGATCCAGCCAAGTCTCTCTCTTTTTCTCTCTCCTTCGCTACCTGGGTGGGAGGGGAGATTGAGAGCATTGTTGTTGAACCTGAGTCAACTGGTGACACCTGTTCACTAGGGCATGGAACAATAGGACAAGGGGTACTGGTTTCAAGCTAGAGAAGGGTAGATTTAGGTTGAACATTAGGAAAAAGTTATTTAATAGGAGGGTGGTGGATCACTGGAACAGGTTGCCTAGAGAGGTGGTGGAGTCCCCATCCCTGGAGACATTCAAGGTCAGGCTTGATGGGGATCTGAGCAATCTGTTCTAGTGTGAGGTGTCCCTGATTATTGTAAGGGGGTTGGACTAGATGACCTTTAGAGGTCCCTTCCATGATTCTAGGACTTTTTTTTTTTTTTCAACCAATGTATTTTTCATTTCCTTCAACTTTTTTATGTATCACATGTATACACATATAGCTATAATTCATATACATACTACATATGCTGAATACATGCTACCTATAATATAGAAATATGTTACAGACCAATTTTATTCTTCTTCACACCTGTGTAAATCCAAAGGAACCACATCAGCCTCAGCTATTTTGTTACTTCTGTTTGAAGGCCCCTTGTTGATCAAGGTCTTATAGAGCAATGCCCAGGATGAAACCATGTGGCTGCAACATGTGGTTACAAAATTCTCTACTTATCCTGTGGAGGCTCAGTCTGGCAATGCACATAGCATGTGTGAGCTTTAAGTGCATGATTAGTGCCTATGACATCAGACTGTCATTGCTCAGAGCCATGCATTCAAACAGCATTAGTCTGTTTAGTTACCCAGCTTCAGCTGAAATCATGGCTTGGTTTTTGTTCTCTGACACCTTGTGCCTCTTTTGGCATTAATTTTCTCCAGGGTACTCTGGGTTTTAGTGCTTTTTCTCCAGATGGACTGAACAGCATTTTAAAGAGACTTTTATGTGTAGTAGATTCCTCTATACTTCATTCAGACCCCCTCCCAGTTTGATATGTGTACATTTGATTTACTTTCAAACCTAATTTGAGCTGCTACCAGCTTTTAAGTGACTAACTGTGCAACCTTAATAGACTCCAAATGTTTTCTTCCTTATTTTTTTTAATGCTTTTTAAAAAGAAACAGAAAGAAGTACACTAAGAAACAAGGTGCTTCAATGTCTCAGAATTGGAAATGCTCTTGCTTGCAGAAAGAAGAAGAAAAAAAAGGGCAAATTCCATCATATAGGGCTACATGACTAGACATGACCAGATTATTTTGGTTCCATGTTATGCAAGTTGAAAACTAAGCAAGGAAAACCTTAGTTTATCACACGCATACTTTTACTTAATCCTTTGTAAATTACTCTAGATCTAATTTTTTCAGCACACATTCTAATTAATTAAACAATTTTAATTAAGTGAAACAGATGCTAGTGAAAACCTTTAAAATGTAAACTGTATTGCTATTTTGAGAGTCTGATTACAATAAGATGAACACACTAATGGAACAAAAGAACATACGCTCATGGGATAAGAAGATTAAGACTTCATAGACTACATACTTGACTGAAAATGATTATTCTAGTCCAGACTTTTAGAGTTTTGGACCAAGTTGTAGTTAGCTATATCCAGGAACACCAAAAGGCATGTATACTTCTTGTATCAAGCAGAGAGTAGGCAGCAGATCCCCCTAACATGACACTAGTAAGACTACCTCTTGAATACTGCATCCAGTGTTGGGTCCCTGGTACAAGAAAGTTGTTCATGAATTTTAATACATCAAGGAGACAACCACTGAGATGGTCAGAGGTTGGAGAACTAGCCCTGTGAGAAGCTGGGGGAACACGCCTTGTTTAGCCTGAAGAAAATACGGCTCTGGAAGGAACAAGCAAGCAGTCTTAAAGTACTTACAAGGAGGTTACTGAGAAGACAGAGCCAGGCTTTTCACAGAGGTGCCTGGTGGGACGACAAGAGACCATGGTCATGTACTGGAACAGTAGAGCTTTCAACTGTATATAAGAAAAAAGGCAGCTGCCAGACAAATAACATTGGAAGAGGTTGTCCAGACTGACAATGGAATGAGTTGTTGGAGATTTCCAAGACCGACATGATGTCAACACTAAAGCATTGACCCTGCTTTGAGTAGAAGGCTGGACTACAAATCTGCCCAAAACCCCTTCCAGCATGACTGATCTGTGATTCTGTACAAATCCCAAATTCTACCAGATAGAACATCCTGTTAAAGTATTGTATAAAGGCATTTCAGAACTGTTTAAGCCTTTCTGGGGAAGCATAATTCACTTGCTTATTTAAGAAAGCTAGAATGATAAATCAGAATGTTTTTATAAGCATAATAAAAGAAGAAGTAAGTCCTGACCATCTTAACTCATCCCCACCACAAAATGAAAAGTTCTAATGTTATGAAAAAAAAACACAACAAAAAAACAACAACAAAAAAAAACAAACAAATGGGAACACACAAAAAAATTAACCTGATTTCTTTCAGGAAGCATTTTCCCATTTTCAGTGCAGGACAGAGGGGATCAGTCAATCTATTTCCCTCTCAGTATGTGAAAAGCTTCAGAGCAAAACACACAATCCAACCATTCCCACACATTTCACAGGACAAAAATGAAAGAGGGTTATGGCATTGCCAATGTTCTAGGTCATTGTAATAACAAAGAATCTGTTTGGTGAAGATGCCTATGTTAAGGAGCAGGTGACAGCCCAAACTATAAAGGAAGGGGAAAAAATTATCCTTGCCAATCTAATATACGAAGAAATGTCTTTCTCTACCCCACATTTAGCAAGTGCTTTGGCTTTTTACAGACAAGGAAAATATACTAACAAAAGACTAAGAGTATCAATGCATTCTTAACTACACTCTCTCTCTAGTTTGGGCCAATTTCTGATCCTTTGAAGATAGAGAGGGAGAACTCCAGAGCCAAATTATACCTCAAGATGTTAAGAAAATATAAGTCCAGTTTGGCAGGAGCCTTGAAACTTGGGATTCATACATTATCAATTTAGCACAATAAACAGGTTCAACAAGGAGTTAAGGATACCAACAAGTAAGAAGTCTACCTACAGGCTTTGCAAACTGTTTCGCTCACAGGCAATTCACCCCTTGAACACAGTATGATAAATGTAACTCAGTGTAGTCATCTCAGCTCCAGAAAAAAATCTCCAAGCAAACAACAAAAAACTGTTTTCAGGCTATGGTATAGCCACACTATTAAATAAATAAATAATTGCATTTCTTTGCTGTCAAACACACATTGAAAATGGTTTCAGCTGAAGAATAAATAAAATACGTAATTCCAAAACCTAAAGTTGTACGCTTAACTGAAGGGAAAGCAAATTTCACTCACTCCTCCCAAAACAGCAACCAAAACAGCATCCATCACCTTGTTGCCAGGATATCAGACCTATAAATCTCATTGTTCTCTTGCCTTAACAGTTTTAGATATACTTAACTTCAGATACACCTAACAAATGTGTAAATATGCTCACTCCATCCCACTCCAAGTAACACAGTTTGATCCCAAGAGAGATAGAATGACCACTGCTTGGCCACCTCTTAGGTTAAGGCCCTGAAAGGGTAAGAATTCTTAGAGACCTCACCTGGGAGCTTTGCCAAAACTTCCTTAAGATGGGCATGTGTGTATCATAAATAAATGTGTGAGTCCAAACCAGAAGAGAATTTGAGCAGCTCTAAGAAGTGCCTGGAGAATTCACACTGCACATGGTCAATAGCAAATTTCCCATTGACTGAGCCTGACTCATTCAGTCAATGAGTAAGGCACAAGTCGTAATCATATACCACAACCTAATTAAGAGAGAAGAGCACTTTGAGAAAACCTGCTATCAAGAAGAAAAAAGTGTGGACAGCTTCTGCTTCCTTGAATGTCAAAGATAGCAAACAACTTTTAGGCCTGGGTACAACCCAACATAACATGCATGTAAGGCCTTCCTGACATAAAAGCCTGTTTAAGGGAGGTTCTATTAACACATTCAGCCTCCCTCCACACACATGGAAAAGACAAGAGGAAACTTATGAGCATGGATTAATGCCTTGAATTGATGCATTGATGCACTGATTTATTTACAACCATCTTCACTACAGAGAATGGCCTGAGATGTACAGAAGAGTGGATTTTTGCTTTCTGCCCTTTCCATCACCTGCTAGTCCTAGGTCAGGTCTGTTCTTACTCTTGACAGCAGCAGATTTTCAGCACCATTGTTTTTAGCAAGACCAATTCGCCCAAAATTTGTTGCTTGTGTTTTTATTGTTTTCGGAATCATCACCTACACCAAATCCTGGATCCCTGACTACTCAGCAGAGTCACATTTAAGTTAAATCTGTTAGCTACATACTGGCTCATATCCATATTCCTAGACCATTTAGCAGAATTTTTTTAAACCATACCACAACAGTTCCTACTCACATGAAAATTTTATCAAGCAATCTACCTACAGCATACTACCTTTTCTTTCTGTGTGCCATTGGTAGGACACCTATATGCTCCTGAGCAAGGAAAGGAGAATGTGTTTAATGTGATAAAAGGGGCAAAGTAATGCTTCAGTCTCTCTCTTTTTCTTTTTCCTTTTTTTTTTTTTTTTTTTTTTATGAGCAGAGAGCTTTTATAATGAGAACAACTTTCAAAAGAAGTAGTGTTCAAATCTGAAGTTGCTAAAACTGGTGTCATTTGGTATTTTTCTGCTGCAAGAGAAACCCACAGCCAGAGACTTGACACCAAGAGTGCTATCTCCTAAATATGCTTCAACAGAAGGGCAGTTAGTTCTCTTGTCTCTAGTGCAACTCTTTGAGGTCACAAAGAGGAGGAGTGTGTCTTCATCAGGATCATTGGTAGGAGGAAAATGAAGAGCGAGGCCCCAGCATGGACTTGGGGTGGAACAAGGAGCAGGCAGCTTGTAGAGTGCACGAGAAACAAGTTGTCATTATTGCCCTTTCTTCCTGAGGCCTCCAACACTGATCTGCATGGACATTTCTGACTTCTGAATTTTCATTCCTGGCTAAACATATTCTTGGATGTATTAAATACACAGATCAAATATTTGAATTCTTGGGATGCCTGAATGGCTAGAAATGGAAATGCACCCAGGCCACAGTTTCTCTGAAATCTTCCGCCTTAGATAAGTTACTACGGAAGGTGTAACTCATTTGCATGTCATGTCATTGGTTTCTGCTACTGCAAAATCAATGCCCTCTTGGGTTTTTTAATACTATTTTATCTTTCAGAAATATTTTCCTTGTAAACTATCCTTCATTACAATATGTGGATCTTTAGAGTACCTAGATATTTGTGTCAGATTGTACTATTATTATAACAACAGAATTGCTTGAAGGAGATACTGTAAATCAAAGAAAAAAAAAATGCTGCTGCTGCTATAGAAAGTCCCCAATGATACAACATTTCATACACTAGTGGTACATTATAAATCAATGCAGAGGCAGTTTCTTAAAATAAGCATATGCTACCCCTGATTTCTTGTATCAAGTCACACAATATTTTCAGTTTAACTTGTTGCCTAACTACTAGCACACCTGGGTAATACTGTTCCCAGGCAACAGGGTATAAGCACAACAAGAATAAAGCAATGGAAATTTCAATGCGGTGTTTTAGTAGAAGCCTTCTGAGAAGGAGAGGGAAAGTGGGAATATAAGGTATTCAAACCACAGAACTCAAAGCATTAATAGAATTTAGTCCTGGAGAGGGTAGATCCTCAGGAAAAGATCGAAGAGAAAATAAAACCAATTATGAGAACATTACAAATAAAAATAGTTAGTAGAGCATGTGTTTTTATGAAGATAAGTGAATACATAGAAGAGAGACTATGTATCATCTTAGAAACCCACCAAGATTACCAGTGTAAAACTGTTTACTCAGGAGCATCTGTGAAGTCATTTCTGTGGGCTTTCAGAGTCATCAGGAGTGCCTGGACAATTATTGTGGTTCAGAGCTGCTGAGCCACGCCAGGACTGCAGGCTGAGGAGCCCTCTGAGGCTACAGAGAATTTTGGCCTCTAATAGATGTCCTGAAATCTGTGCATGTCCAAGGAGACACAGAGACTAAGCACTCTGAACTTCTTACCCGCTCCATCCTCTGTGATTTGGGGAAAACTTGAAGCATAATTTCCAAATAAGCAGCAAAGGCGTGGAGGATGGTATTCCTGTGCTAAGAACAATCTGGCACAGGGAAGGAGGCCTGGGTTTGAAAGCTATATAGTTAGGCTTGGATTAGGCAGAGATCCTAAAGCAGCTGCAAGAGGGGAGCGGGAGGGAAGAAAGATTAAAAAAATAAGCCTCTCACCACACATTTTCTTCCATGTTCCCCTAGCTTTGTAAAAGTTTTTGTTAGGAATCTTGCAGTATGATGAAAGCATGTAAAGGCTGAGCTCCTGAGAGAAGTCAGTATCACTGCAGTGCACAAAACCCATACTCTGATACAGAGGTAATAGCTTCAGATTCTACTCAAAGATAAAAAATTGGCATGTGGAGCCCCTTCTACTATCCTTAGCTCTGCAACTCCCATTATGTGTATACTTACACAAATCTGTGATGTGGCTTAGACAGCACACTTATGTGTAGTTCAGTTTGGTAAGCCTGAACCATAACTGAACTAATTTCAATAGTGGCTGCACAACAGTCCTAGATCTAAGGTGCATCAAGAAATATTCTGCCCCTTCTTAATGTTGGCAGCGATTCCTACCAAGTAAGTTGCCTGAAGTGGTTCTGAGAGTGCAGCCTGTTGGGCTGCAGTGCTTCGGGAGGGAGACAGGCTGTGGGGCAGCTCTGGGGTATTTTGGCTGGGACACACCATAAGAGCCATGAGTGACACTGTGGAAAGGTCTATGTGTGAGGTATGGGGATGGAGAGAACAGGGATAATCAGGGTCAAGACTACTAAGATGAAGTTGGATGAGGTTGCTGCATTGAGGGAGCAGGACAGTACACATGACTCCCATGAGAGCATGGGGAGGTAGAGCAGATTAAAATGAGCAAAATATAGGACAACTGGTTAAACATAGAGTACTGGGTGTGGCTGTTTAACCGCAGCAGGATCAGCACCCAGAATACAGTGAAAGCCTGCATCCTTCTAGCTGCAGATGGGAGATGAAGAGGAAGGGAGGGCCAACTTGGAGGTCTGCACAGCCACAAAGAGAAACAGAGTTGATTCCTGAGGTGAAGTGGTTATTAATTGCTGAGTGCACTGAGATTTAAATAGGCAAATTTGCACAAAAATATTTGTTCCTAGAAATCCAGATACCATGTTATTTTTCCTAACACTGATAATAACATTGAGCAATAAGAGTTGCTACCATTGAACTGCACACATATTAACTACCCAGTGGCAAAATGTGGTGTGTTCTAAGCTGGATTATCTTTCTGCTGATCTTGGTAAAGTGTTTTTTTTGTATTTTGCAAGGAGTTTCTGTAAGGTACTCACCGGAAGACTCAAAAATTCATTAAAATATTCCACAAGCATATCATCTGTGTCTAAGTATTCTTCCTACAGAGAGACAAAACCACAAATCAAGGCTTGCACTAATGTGGGCTAACATAGTTTAAATGCACTGTTGCCTCAAACAATTACTTTTCCACAAGATAAAACTTGCAAACATTTTTTTGCAAAATGTTATTTCCTACTTTGGGAAAAAAAAGAATTGCATCATTGTTATATTTTAGCCATTGCACACCACTGAGGACCTTAGCAATTTAAAAAACACACATGAAGGTAAATACTTTGCCAAGAAATTTAAAGATAAAACCTCCATAAACCCAAGAGCTTCTAAATGCTGGAAATCTGCTTGTTTACTTTTGAAAAAACGTGCGTAAGCTAATAGCATAGAAATTACCCGTTTCTCTCTTGCATCTGAGAAGGAGGGGAGTGTAAAAGTTCACCAGAGCCTGCTTGTACTCCCACACTGTTTCTTGGGGACGTTTTGGAGGATGTTTGGGGAATAAAAGGGAGTTCACTGATCTATAATTTGGCTCACCAAGGAAGCAGTATATGCCATAACTGGAGTATGACAGAACTGTGAAGCTTTCTGTTGACTTCATCAGAAGCAAAGACTGCAGTGTTTTTGTACCTTTTCTGACCCTTGCATTTTAACCTCTTAACAAGGCTCAAAATCTGTAGAATAGAAATGAATTTATTTTGCTATTGACAATTTGATAAATTTTGATCCAAATCTTACTTCTACTGCACTCAATATCACCACTGTCCCCATTCCAGTTCAACAGGTGGTAAAAGCAGAACATTATTACACTGGTCTTCAGAAATCTGTCTTCAGTATAATGAAGACTTCTGAGTAATTTTTAGCAGACTCAGTTTTTTGAATATTCTATTATTTCTGCCCTACAACTCACAGAGAATGCACCTAAATCAAATGTATTTGCTGATACCAGCAAAGGTCTTGTGACACAAATCTTTTGTTCTGTTTCTTAAGTTCGTAGCACTGAAATGCGCTAGTGAGGAGTAGTGTTCAAGAGATGTTATGCACAGTCTTTGTGGTATCACTTCTAAGCAGGCAATATCTTGATCAGAATCCTACAGTGTATAACCTAATAATTAGAGGCTTAGGTAAGGAAGAAATCTTGACCTGATCTACTTTAATAAGAACTCAGGTGGGCGTCTGAGTGCTGCATGACAAGCCACAACCAGAACTGACTCTGTTTGTCCTGCCTTAGTCTGCCAACATTTACTCCTTAGCACTTGTGGTTGCTGGTGTTTCTGATACGGGACAGGCAAGTTAGCTCATGCTCATTCCTGGAAAACACTGACAACACTGAAAGCAAAGGTTTCTGCGTTAGAGATCATGCCTTATTTGAATCATAGGCCCATGGTCCAATGCACTTGCCTTGCACTATGGACCCAGAGATGTTGAGGCACTGATTAAATAGGAGGATTTATCAAAATGTCCAACCCAAAGCATTTTGAAGTAAATAGAAAATCCCCTTGCGAATGTTGCTAGGCAATCAATCAGCCCCCAGAAATCTCAATTCAGCAAGTTTTAACATAATTAACAAAAAAATTGATTAGAAACAAGCTGCAGTTTGCCTCACGCTTGGTTTGGGTAATGCGCAATTAGATTTGACACCGATAAGGATGGATGTGATGATACTACCCCATTTAAATATTGTTTCAAAGGACTTACTCACAATAGTTCATTTATTACTGACCAAAGTATAAGCTCTTTAAGAATATGCAGGTAACATGTGTTTTTAATTTACCATGGATGTAATTCTCTGTAGTCCCATATAACAGCAAGAAATGTAAACGCAGCCATTGATTAATCAATAAAATGTTCATGATCTTATTAAATGCAAGGTTTACTACTTACTGATCTTATGCATCTATACACGATATACTTTCCTCTGGTTTTTGGAGAGTTTTTTTGTGGTCAGTCTTATTTTGATTTGAAATTACAGTTGCACTTTCATGTTTGAATATTATAGATGACAGAGTTGCATATACAATACTTAAGCTTGGATTTTTGTCTCAGGAAGCATTTTTTTCATTTCTTCCCATGCCATCATTCTTTCTACCACACAGTACAAATTATTACTAGAAATAGCTGCCTTACAATTGCAATGGGAGATCAAGATGTGCTAAAAATTGGTCCAAAATTGCATTTTTGCCTTCATGCAATTTTTGTACCAACAAGAGTAACCTGGGCCTGATTTCTGTCACTCTTTTAACATTGACAGAAATTTTTAAATCATTTTGGCAAAAACGTGCAACAATTTCTTAGATATTTTGTGGAAACAAACCTAATTACTTTCCATCTATAGCATCTGATAGCTTTCTCTATTACTGCCATAATGAAAAAGTACAAAAACACAGAAATACTATTGGACACTAAAGGAGAAGCTGAATGTGGGTAAAAATGGCACTAAAATGATAAATACCAATCCACTCTTGAAAAATATGTAATGTATGGCATTGTTAAATGTCAAAAGTTAAAGTTACACTCCAATCCTGCATACAACTCTGACAGCTTCAAGTCCTTGTGTGAAATTCAACTGGACTCAGACATGTCTAGTCACATTAAGCAGCCTGCAGAATCAAGGTTTAATGCCATATAAACATTCAGTTCAGAGGTGTTCTTACACACGTTTACATACACTAAATATCTGCTCTATATATTGTTTATTTCTACTTGTTGATTCTGTTTATGACAATAAACAACATAAGTAAAAAAACTTCCTAGAGTCTCCCAAAAGGACACACAATACATTTAAACTTTAAAATACACGGTTACAAAGGCAACCAAAAGGGGGAAAAGGCAAACATTACCTAAGCTGCAAGATTTCAGGTGTCTTTTCATATGAGGTAGCAGACAAACATGTCTGCCTTTCAAATAAGAAGACAAACATCAGGGAAATCCTACAATGAGCCATGAGCAAAGGACAGAAAAGGTAAAGTAAAAAGAATATTATTACACCATCCCTGGAAGCCCCCTCCCTGGAAGTGTTCAAGGCCAGCTTGGATGGGGCTCTTAGCAACACAGTCTAGTGGGAGGTGTCCCTGCCCATGCAGGGGGGTTGGAACTAGGTGATCTTGAAGGTCCCTTTCACCTCAAACCATTCTAGGATTCTATGAAAGCTGTCATGTTGAACCTTCCAGTTGATTATTTCCTTCCTTCATCCTATTTCACTTTCCTTCCTTATTCTCCATAGTTTCCTGTTACTTTTTTTTCATTATTTTCAAACTAAGTATTTTTTGTCTGAGGAAATAGTAAGAAATTACTACTCCATAGTTACAGAGAGGACAGAAAAGAGAAAATAGGGTGTTTTTTTTCTCTTTTTTGGCTCACCAGTTGCATGTCAACATGAACAATCTAGCCTTATAAAGCATACTTACAAACACTTCTTCTGTTATACATGGAGGCTCTGAAACACAACAATGGGATATCACAAGTTATCCAAGCAATACAATTAAGCTTGTTCAACTATGATTATTGAACAGAAACAAAAACTAGTGAGGCATGACAGCCTCCCTGAATATTCTGAAATAAAATAACATACCCTGAGGAAACAAAATAAACTCTAAGAACATGCAGTAAAGTTGACCCATGCATAAACAGGTTGAGTATCACAAGAATTATTTAAATATAATTAAAGTATTATTTAACTAGATTATTTCTCATACATATTAGTTAAGTCTTCATCAGTTTTCTTCTGCAAAATTGATTGCTAGAAGCTTGCTGGTTTTAATGAAACTACAGATTCTTATGAGACTCTGGAAGCCTCAAACAGCAAATATCATTAATCATATTATAAAATTGCAAAAAAAATGTAATTGTGGGTGTTCCCAGATAGCCAAATCTCACTCATTCCAGGACAATATTCTATCTTTCATGGTGCCACTTGAAGGGCACCATATTCTCTCTTCAGATTGATTAGTTTTGCTGGGCAAGTTTAAACCTAGCAGTTCAAAAGCTCCTGCTTTTGTATCACCAACTGTGTCCCCAAGACAGGGACCCCAGAGTCAGCCCCCCTGCCTGGCACGATCACCTGGCGTGGAAAGCGGTACCTACCAGTGGTGAGCCTCTTGGACTGCATCCTGCAGCGACACACCGAAGGGCTGGCACCCACACCTGCATCTTTACAGCCTCATTGGCAAAGGTGAAATCCTTGCCTGCAACCCAGAAGCAGAAGCTGCAGAGCCCCGGGCCTGGCTGGGGAGCACAGGCTGCAGCAGGGCAGGGTTGCTATGGCACCGCAAACAATTCCCAGCAGCAAAGGCCTCTGCTCCTGCTGCTCCTGCTCCTGCTGCTCCTGCTCCTGCTACTCCTGCTCCTACTCCTGCTCCTGCTGCTGCTGCTGCTGCTGCAAAGCTTTAGGGCAGACTCAGGTATCAGGCACACTGATGGTATGATCTCAAGACAGGTGCCTGTGAACTAGGAATTTGAGGATGCTTGCTGCAAGAAATGAAATTAAATGCTCCTTTCTTAGCTGACCCAGGCAGCTCTTGGCCCAAAGTTGTATTGTCTTCTCCTATATTAGCAAAACGTTCAACCAATGGGGGATTTTGCTTTCCAAAAAACCCTCATATCATGGGACTAATAACCAACAGATTTACATCATGTATCAAATAATTCTGTATCCATAAGTGGGCTGTAAGGCTTGATCCCAAGCAACAAAGCCAGACCTATCTATGGTGGAGAACTTCCGTTGCAGTCAGGAAAGAACAGGTGAGGAGTTCCACACTGCTAAGGCTGAGATGAAACCTGGGCTGTTCCCTAACAGGTACAAATGGCTCCATTTTAATGTGCCAGAAACACAACCTGCAGCCTTGGCAACAGCCTTTCTTCCTTTTGTCTGCTGCCTGGGCCCAGACTCAACTGAAGTCCCAAGGCAGCTGCATTTTACCTTGGTTAGGGAGTTTATAAATAGTGTAGGTGGAAGAAGAAAAGACATCAAGAGACATAGAAGAGAGCCTGCTCTCAGAATGTGCAGAGTGTGTTTCTTCCTTGCCTTAAGGGGGTGCCCCCATATAGAAGTGAAAGGCACATTTTCTGGAATGGCCAGTGAAAGCTGTGTACAAAGAAGGAATTCTGGCTCCTATATAGAGTTTTCAGTGGATTTCAGGAGCTCCACAACTGGGATCTGAACACATGCTACCTAGTATGTATCTGAACCTAAACCTGCTTAAGTTCTTCAGGCACCTTCAGGTTTTTTGGAATGAAACTTCCCTCAAAGGTTATACTGCTGCTTATTTCCAGAACAGCACTGATTTTCAGTAGCTTGACATAAACCCCACTGGGATCAGTTGTACACAGTATCGTGTATGCAAGTTACATGAAGGGCTCCTTTGAGAAGCCTAATCTGTCAGCTGTGCTCAGCAAGTGCCCAAAATACACCAAGAGCTTCCCATTCCTAATAAACATAAGCATTTTGGCCAACTTCCACAGAAGTATCTCCAGTCGTGCTGCTCAGCTCTGAACAAAAGTTTTATTTTAATTTGTACATTACTTTTTTGAAATCCATGAACAAGTAAAAACAGAATGTATCCTAGAATGGCTTAGGCTAGAAGGGACCTTAAAGATCATCTTGTTCCAACTCCACTGCCCTGGGCAGAAACACCTTCCACTAGGCCTAACAATGTCCCACTGTGTTGTAATGTTGTTAGCTGCCTGATTAGCTATTTAGGGTGGATTATTTTATGGCTTTTTTTCACTTAAGGGAAGAACAGTAACAGAGAAGCTGAATAATATAGCCAAGA